TAATTCTGTTAGAGTTTGTGGTAGGGGATATTTTAATATTGCTTCAATTTTGTTATTGTTGGGTTTCAATCCTTCACTTGTTATAGCGTGCCCTAGATATAGTACTTCTTTCCTAAGAAAATGAGACTTATCAAGTTGGACTTTAAGGTTAGTTTTTCTGAATCTTTCAAATACGGCTTTAAGCTTTTCTACATGTTCCGGTAGGCTTTTTGAGAAGATTATAACGTCATCTAAATATACTAGGCAATGTAAGCCTTGTAACCCTCGTAGCACGTTATCCATTGCTCTCTGAAAAGTAGCAGGAGCTGTCTTTAAACCGAAGGGCATTCTATTGAATTCAAAGTGTCCAAAGGGTGTGCTGAAGGCTGTTTTTGGTTTATCATCCTTTTCTACTTCTATTTGGTGGTAACCGGAAGCTAAATCTAAGGTAGTGAAATATAAGCTCTTTCCTAGCATGTCAAATAGATCGTTTATATTAGGGAGTGGGTATTTGTCATCTGTAGTTATGTCATTTAGTCGCCTATAATCAACTACCATTCTCCATTTTTGTACGCCCGATGCATCTAATTTTTTTGGTACTAAGTGCACCGGTGCACTCCACGGAGAATGAGACTCCTGGATAATATTATCTCGCAACATTTTCTCTACTTGTTGCTTTATTTCCTTAGTTTGTGCAGGTGGTAGTCTATGGGCTTTCATATTAATAGGGTCCTCATTCTTAGTCCTAATCTTATGCTTAACCTCGTTTGTAAAAGATAGCGGTATGTTCTCACAATAGAATATATCCTTATATTCCCTACACAGTTTACCTATCACCGATTTTTCCTCTTCGTTCATGTGCTCTAATCTTAATTTATTTAAGTTTTCCTCTAGTAATATATCTAAATTATTATTTTTACTTTCTGTAAAATTCAAGTTATTGTTATATGTGTCGTAAAAAATCTCAACTTTAAATGGTGACGTGACCACTAACTTTTGTTCACTGTCTGTGCAGTTCTGTATAACTGTGGTTGCAAAACCATCTTTGCAATTTACTATCGCGTCGGGCATTCGGATACCTTCTGTAAACTGTACGTAATTTAATATAGCTTCACCATTTAATAAGTTGACTGGTAATTTAACTCTTAATTCGCAGCGAGGAGGCAGATTATATGTCTCTCTCATTGGCGGTGAGTAAATAATTGGGATATTAGTATTATTTGTATACAAAGTGAGGTTTTTCATGTCAATGGTAGCGTCAAGCAATTTTAAGAGATCACTACCTATTAACCCATCGTACCTTTCGTCTACACTATATACATAAAACTTGTGTTTTTGTTGACTATGAAAGATACTCGGTAACTTTGCGTAGACAACTTCTCCGTGTTTACTGGCAGCGTGAGTACTAATAACCTCAAACGGTTCTAAGTGTACCGAATCACTATAATATTTTTTTGCTAGTTCTGGACTAATAAATGACCTAGTACTACCAGTGTCTATCATAAAGACAGCTTTTAGTTCAGGTATACGGATATGTGGTAAATTTAAAAGTTTCGTACAATTAATTTTTATTCTATTGGTCTCGTCGAGGCTAATATGTGAAAATTTTCAATTTCAGCCAAATCCGAATTATTATACTGATTTGATGCAATACATTGTTGTGTATTGCAAGGTTGATTTATTACGCTATTGGTATAGTTTATTCTCCTTGAGTTAGCAGTTCGCATTGTTACATCGGTGTTCGAACTCGACGCCACAGGTGGCGATTGATATTGCGTTAAACGCTGAGTATGCGCAGGGGCATTGTCCGCGAAATACTGACTACGCTGTATCGGGCCCGGCGCCGGCGGTACTGGTGACCTAGTCGCGGTCGATTGTTGTTGATAATTATTGCGATGGCTATTGTTACGATTGTTATTTTGCCTAAATTGGAATGAATTATTTGACGAGTTAAAAGAGCGATTATTATTAACGTAGGGTGACAAATTATTTTGATTATTAAATGTATTTGCACTAGATTGCTCCGTATGGGAAACATTTCTAGGTGAATAAGTGTAATTATTGTTAGGACTCGGCCTAAAGTTTGTTCGATTAGACCGTGAATTTTTACTTTCATAAACTGACTGAAAGTTTTGTTCTTCTAAGACAATTTTCAAAGCGTCTTCTAGAGTAGTCACGTTCCGTAATCTCACAAGTCTAACTAAATATGCCGGTAAATTATAAAGAAACGCATTTAGTGAACTATGGTTATAAATAGATTGTTTCGCTAGACGTAAGTTCGGATCGTCAATCGTTTCGCTAATCTTAGAAAATAAGACACTTCTCAAATGTTGTATCCTGTGACAAAATTCCTGGTAATTTTCATTACTGTTTAATTTTAAGGATTCGAGTTCCAAAGCCAAACATTCCTCGGATCTCGGGTCACCAAAATGTTGGCTTAGTAATGTTTTTAATTCGTCCCAATTATTAATATGATCCCGTTCTCCAACTAGGTTTGCAGCTTCCCCGGATAACCTACTTGTAATAACGTGGAATAAATATTCGTTTTGTAACTGGCTTCCTCGGAATGAATGGAGTATGTACTCGCATTTTTTTATAAAGAGTGGTAAAAGTCTAGTATCACCATCGAAATTAGGGATAATTTTAACCATTTCCATAGGAACTCTCACTAAATTTTCCATTTTTCTTTCTTTTTGTTACAGAATACACTACCAATAAAAAAATAAAAAAATACTCTTCGGTTATTATTAAGTGAATTTATAAGGAAATTAAATGAAATAATTTAAATTCCTCAATTACTTAACTAATTAGAATAATTAACTAAGTGTGAATTTATCTAGTAATTAGGCGTAATTAATCCCACAAAACCAGAATATAAACACACACAAAATAGGAGAATAAGAAGGGTAGGAAAATACAGATTGGTGAAGAAGATCTACTCACAGTGCTGCAGTTTTCCCCATGCTCCTTCTGGAATATTGGTGCTCTGTCCTTGAAGTTGGTCTGTTCCTTAATAAATTTGTTTGTTCCTTTTTTCCCGATTAAAACGTTGAGACGTACGACCGATTTTTCTGCGAAAACTTTTATTCGCCACGAAATAATACTTGGTCTTACGGGTCCCTACCGACTGCGCCAATTAAGATAATGAACCCAACTTCAATAAAAAATATATTTATTTATTTTGACAGAGTTACAGTAAGAAGTTTATTACTACAATATTCGATTTTAAATGATTACAATTGTCTATTTATACTTAAGTTATATGCTACAAAACTATTTACTAAGCTTATTTACTGCATACGTTTGACCCAGATGGGATTGCTGATGATGTGCGAACGAATGAGATTTGGCAGGGGTGCTCAGCCTTAACTCGTGCGCGAGCGACAGTTCAATCGTTTTGTTTAATAAATTTACTTGTGATTACGTGTTGATATTATTGTTGTTGTTACGTTTTTGGATTCTTTTTTGTTTTAATAATGCCTAACGCGTACGTTTATAGTGCTCAACATGTTAGGTAGCCGAACCTAGGTACACGAAGTATCGCTAAATAAATTGTTAAGACGTCGGGATGGAACAAGTGTGTCATATATTGCAGTGCACAAAGTGTTGAAGTGCAAGCTTTAGTTCCCGGCGATCACGACCGCCGACGAGTTTTCTGGCGTTGGTTATTATACCAGCAACAACGTGTGCCTGGTTCCATTGAGCACATTATCTGGACGGATGAGTCGACATTTACCAGAAACGGCCTGTGGAACCGAAGAAATACACACTTGTATTCAGAGGTTAACCCGCACGCTGTTCGACAAACCGGGCACCAAACCCGATGGTCGGTTAACGTATGGGCAGGTATTAAGGATCGCATACTGGGACCAGTGTTTCTGCCACAGCGACTGAACGGACAGCGATACCTAAACTTTATAAGTGAACAGTTGGTTGACATTTTAGACGACCTATCGTTGGCTGAATATCGCCGACCATGGTTCCAGCATGATGGTGCACCTCCACATGTCGTGAGGTTCGTCTGTGAGCGCCTCACCGAATTATTTGATGATCGCTGGATTTGGCGGACTAGGACCACTCGGTTGGCCACCTCGCTCGCCAGATCTGACCCCGTTAGACTTCTTTCTGTGGGGGTATGTGAAAGAAAGGGTTTTTAATCGTGAGTGTGATAGTGTTGACGAAACTACAAAAGGATCGTGGATGTTTTCGACAAACTACATACGGACTGTGTCGAAGACTACACGATGATGCCCCGCCTGCATGAGGAGATGCAACACCGAGCCCAAATCTGCCTTGAAATGAATGGAGCACAATTTGAGCCGCATCTCATAAGACCACGGAGGATTTAGAGCGGTAAGCTGTTTCATAAGTATTTTTTTTAAATAACTTAGTACTGGACTAATCTGAATAGGTACATAACTGAATACATGAGAATAATAAACATACCTACACGATGAATAAAAACGCATGACTCCAATCTTGGTTACATTTCATTAGTTTAAGTATTTTATCATTAGCGGGGAATCGAACCAGTTATTTGGGTTATTTAACCTGTAAATTCGTATTAAAGTGGCTACGTGGAGACAAGTACAGTGGCAAAATAGTAGGTTAAGTAGATAAGTTAGGTATTTAGACAAGTGTTGTAAATTATTAGGTAATGTGGTATGGCCCGCTAGTTGCGGGCCGCGCGAATTTGCGTTCGCGCGTACATTGACCTCAAGTCAGCTGATATCAATTCAGTAATTCCACTGCTGGTTTTATGTTTCAGTATTCTCATGATTTTTTTATGAAATTATCGTTTCATTTAGCTGTACTAACATGATGGCGCGTGAACAAAGCTTATAACACGTTGTAAAAATATGATTTTTTTTTCATCAGGATTGAATTTATGTGTTACCCATGATCAAAGGTATACTTGGTGCTGTCGCCTGTCTTAGTTTTCAGGAGCGTTCCAAAAATACCCTGTATAATAAAATCGTGTTACAAATAGTGATGACGTGTGGGTGTGCGTGTGGGTGCAGGCGGAGCTGCTGGGGCACGTGTGGGCGGGCACGGGCAGCACGGCCACGCCGGTGCTGCGCGCGCTGCTGCCGCTGGGCGAGCGTGCTGCCGCCGTGCCGCTGCTGGGCGCCGCGCCGCTGCGCGTCCGCGCCGGCGCAGCGCTCTCGCTCGCACTCGACGCGCAGGTACGTGCCGCGCTCTCGCTCGCACTCGACGCGCAGGTACGTGCCGCGCTCTCGCTCGCACTCGACGCGCAGGTACGTGCCGCGCTCTCGGTCGCACTCGACGCGCAGGTACGTGCCGCGCTCTCGCTCGCACTCGACGCGCAGGTACGTGCCGCGCTCTCGGTCGCACTCGACGCGCAGGTACGTGCCGCGCTCTCGCTCGCACTCGACGCGCAGGTACGTGCCGCGCTCTCGCTCGCACTCGACGCGCAGGTACGTGCCGCGCTCTCGCTCGCACTCGACGCGCAGGTACGTGCCGCGCTCTCGGTCGCACTCGACGCGCAGGTACGTGCCGCGCTCTCGCTCGCACTCGACGCGCGCTGCTGCCGCTGGGCGAGCGTGCTGCCGCCGTGCCGCTGCTGGGCGCCGCGCCGCTGCGCGTCCGCGCCGGCGCAGCGCTCTCGCTCGCACTCGACGCGCAGGTACGTGCCGCGCTCTCGCTCGCACTCGACGCGCAGGTACGTGCCGCGCTCTCGCTCGCACTCGACGCGCAGGTACGTGCCGCGCTCTCGGTCGCACTCGACGCGCAGGTACGTGCCGCGCTCTCGCTCGCACTCGACGCGCGCTGCTGCCGCTGGGCGAGCGTGCTGCCGCCGTGCCGCTGCTGGGCGCCGCGCCGGCGCAGCGCTCTCGCTCGCACTCGACGCGCAGGTACGTGCCGCGCTCTCGCTCGCACTCGACGCGCAGGTACGTGCCGCGCTCTCGCTCGCACTCGACGCGCAGGTACGTGCCGCGCTCTCGGTCGCACTCGACGCGCAGGTACGTGCCGCGCTCTCGCTCGCACTCGACGCGCAGGTACGTGCCGCGCTCTCGCTCGCACTCGACGCGCAGGTACGTGCCGCGCTCTCGCTCGCACTCGACGCGCAGGTACGTGCCGCGCTCTCGCTCGCACTCGACGCGCGCTGCTGCCGCTGGGCGAGCGTGCTGCCGCCGTGCCGCTGCTGGGCGCCGCGCCGCTGCGCGTCCGCGCCGGCGCAGCGCTCTCGCTCGCACTCGACGCGCAGGTACGTGCCGCGCTCTCGCTCGCACTCGACGCGCAGGTACGTGCCGCGCTCTCGCTCGCACTCGACGCGCAGGTACGTGCTGCGCTCTCGATTTTGTGAGTGGACGCTTAAGCATTGAATTTCTAAACTTCCAAGTCACACCACAAGTTAAATTGTCTTTGCTTAGATGAGTCTCTAATACTCTAGCCATCAACCTTTTGCCAGGTGGCATGTTGTCTTCCTTAAGAAGCACGAGACTTTCAAGTTTTACTGTCTGTACATTTATGTCTAGATTGGAGTCTAGTCAAATATTCTCTAGACCACCTATGCTAAACCAAATCTAAGATATACCTTTTGACGTTTCACATTAATCATTCCGCAATAACTTTGTATAAGCAATAATTTTGTCTGACGTTGTTTCAATGATATGTCGCTATGCAACTTACAGTAGTGTTTGGATGATTAAAATACATTGTTATGCGATTAATCGGCAACAATATTCAAATAATCGATAAAAATATTCAAATAATCGAATCTTTAAAATTTTTAATTTATTATTTTATATTTGTTTAATTACATTTTTCTTTTTAAAATCCTTAAATTACATGAACCATAAATAATACAAGTTTAATTTTTTTATAACTTCCTAGTTTATCAGCGTAAATTTGTGTGTGCAAAAAAACACCATATCCAAGGCCGTGCTGAAAAAAAACACTACGTAAATCAAATCACCCGCCATTTCGAGAGCTTACCCGTGTGTACTTTTGTGATTTTGTGTTTGTTTCCTTATTTTGTGACACGGCTATAACTTTTTGTACTATTTCTTCTATATTCGGTGACCTTGGCAAGCCGTAGTTGTGGTAGTCGCACTTTAACAGTCAGAAATGTTTAAGCAAAAGTGAATGGGGAAAACAAAGAAAATTGTTATGGATGACTTTGAAAGAGACATTAATTTTAACTACAACAGTTCAACTAGGTGTTGTGAAACTGATTGAATAAATTTATTTTTATCTAGTTTATCAATCTTAAATTTATCAACCTTGCCTCTAGAAATAAGCAGTAACAATAAATACGAAGAAACTGTTAAATCTTGTGTTTTAAATAATTCGTTTCTAATTTATTTTTGTGTTAATCGAAGTAAAACTCGAAATGATTACCAACTCTATAGAATCGATATCGATTTTTTTAAAGAATAGAATATTGTACGTTCCGATTTTTTTGTTGGCATGCCTAGTCCTATAAGTCTGACAGCTGTCAAAAGGTATTTCTTAGATTTGGTTGAGTATAGACCAAAAGTCTTAGAATATCAACGTCAAAATGCTTTTCTCCAAGGACGACATGAGTTGTTTATTGCTTGCTGTTAAGTTAGTTTGTAGTGGTAGTTAGTAGTGGCATTACGCTCCAAATATTTTTGCATTTACCTCTACTAACAAATCTTTTAAAGGCAGTCATAAATTCTTGTGCAGTTAAGCCTGTGAAAATTTCAATCGCGAGTTGCCATGCAAATGAATATCACAATATATCCTCTTTGTGTTTTACAACCACGATCTTTGGACAAACCTAAATCAATGGGACCAACCAGTTCTACACCACTATTCTGAAATAGTCTCACAGGAGTAACCCTTAAAAAGAATCCCATAATTTGAGTTGCTGTTAAAGCTTCATATCTAGTACAAGTGACACTGCGTGATATATTGCATGCACTATCCTAGTCACCACTAATCCCAGCACCACTACTCCCAACACCACTACACTAGGAAAGGCATACCACCGACGACAATAGGACAGTGTTTCGTATCTTCACGAGGCATTCTCAGGTAAAGTAGACTGCGGTGGCTGACCGCTATGTGCGCGGTGAGCCAAAACAGCTGCTATTTGTACAACTCGCTGACGCAATCGCTACCCTACCCTCTAGCCACTTCGTGCTTCGCAGTTTATCATCGTTTTCTCTGTTTATTTTTTTCTTTCCATTGTTTTCTTGTTGTAGCTAATTCGTTGACTATTAAAAATATTACAATTCTATTCCAACTATCTGTGTTTACGTCTACGCTATTAAGTCAACTTTATCAACGTCTACGCTATTAAATCGGCGTTTGCCGATTCAGTATGAATGTTTCGAATTGACATAAGCTTGTGTATGTATGCGTTAACTATTACTCTTTTGTTGCTAAGTCTTCATTTAAGTTTTTCCCATGAGTACTCCTTTTATCTCATTACAGCCTTTCACAAGTCCACTGCTGAACATAGGCATAATTTTTTTCTATTACAGCAATATTTTTAATTAAGTTTGCTGCTTCACCTACCACATGCACCTTTGAGTAATGTAGTTTTTGAACACTCTTTAAACTTGCATTACCGTGTATTAATAATACAAATTGATCATAGAATGTGTGCCACTCTGTGTATAGTTTCCATTAGATGTTGTTATTTTTAATGTAGGTAGGTATCTTAATATCCACTGGTGTGGCAGTAGATGAGTTTAATGTTTTATCCGTTGTTAGATTTTGGATTTGAGGTGTGATATTTTGTAATTTGTCTATCATAATAATTTAAGTTATAGTGTATTCTTCCTCTGTAGTATAATAAATATCGTCAACCACGTAATTTGTAGTTGCAAGCACTTTCTTGTCGTAAGAACGTAATAACTTCATGTGATTTTGTTGTATATTCGACTATGTTCGATCTAACAATTGCAATTTTGTGTTAATTGTTATTATTAATTGAAAAAACTATCCTTTTATAAAGAACTTAAAAATTTATTACGAACAAAATACAATACTTTATACTAGTAATGACCACAGAGTAGAGAGAGTGCTTTTATCATAGAGTATGTGATACTAGAGAAGAGCACAGATTATACAAGGCGCAAATTTTTATTACAACATTAGTAATTTATCTAATCTGTCTTTCGGGAATATTTTGATATTTTTTTTTATAGGATAGCTTCTTTAACCGCTTTCAGCATCGATCGCGTCAAAGGCAACCCAAATGGGCTGGTACCTTTTTCCTATAATTCTTATAACTTTAAATTAGCACACACCCTAAATTAATGCCTTCTTTTATTAATTTTACATTTCAGGCATAAAGCAAACAATATAGAAACAATAAGTTTAGTATTTAAGTATTCTTGACTACATGGCAAGATTTAATTCCAATTTTATCTCTAAGATAACAAGATTTTATTTTACACAAAGGTTTAGTAAAAATATCAGCATATTGCTCATCACTGCATACATAGTTTAGCTCAATAATTTTAGCATAATATTTTTCTTTAATAAAATTAAACTTAATGTCTATAATATGTTTACACCGTTTGTGAAAGTTTATGTTTTTAATTACACTTATAGCATTTTTATTATCTAGATTTAAGCACACTGATTTTTGATTAAATTCACTGATGTCACATAACAGTTGTTTCACCCTAATAGCCTCTTTAGTGGCAGCACAGGCTGCCATGAATTCTGCTTCAGTGGTTGACAGGGTCACTGTCTGTTGTTTCTGACGAGCCCAAGTCGCTGCTGCTCCATTTTTAGTAAAGACATATCCCGTGACTGAACGTCTTGTGCTAGGGTCTTTAGCGAAATCTGCATCACTGTAGCCAACCACTACATTAGGCTCTGACATTGGTGTGTAGCACAGGCCATAACCTTTAGTCTCTTTTAGATACTTTAAAATTTTTTCACAGCATTCCAGTGTGTTTTAAAAATCGGCTCGCCAGGCTTACTGGGAATGAAATATCACGTCGGCTTACTGTAGCTAGGTGAATCAATGATCCAACTGTTTTCCGATATGTGATGTTCTTTTTTGTTTCTCCTTCTCCTTTCTCCAACTTCATATGTGGCTCAACTGGAATACAGTTTGGTTTACAATAATACAAATTAAATTTATTTAATAACTTCTCAATATAGTTTGGCTGATGTATAAAAATGTATTTGTCACAATTCTGTCTCAATACCAACAAAATTTTTAAGTGGACAG